TTTTTATATTAAGTAGAGCATGATCTCATAAATTGTGGATACATTTTTAATGTGTGATAAGAACTTTTTAAATATTTTTTTTTAAATGTGTGTGGTGATGGAAATGACAGGGTGGTGGTGGAAATTACAGGGTGTTGTGGAAATAACAATTAATTAACGTGAATGTAGAGAAACAGTAGAGATATTTATTAGAAAAATAAGCCTCCAGAAAGTTCCAAGCCAGTTTCTTCCAGCCCATCTGATATGGAATGTTGGTGAAGAAGTAGAAATTATTTTTGGAGCGGTATTGGGTGGTCGGCCCATCACTGACCACATACAACACTGAAGCAGTGGGGTATTGATCCTTCAGGAAAGTGAGGACTTTTGATAGATGTGCCCAAATAGCACAGGGGTCATGACGAAATGAGGAGCTGATTGAGCAGACTGAGATGACACTGTTTCTGGTGTCATTTCCACCACAGAGGGCAGTGTGGTGGAAATGACATTTCTGTAGTTTTTTGTGAAAAAATGGAAGATAGCTTCACTGATTAGCTTTGAATTAATACTTAGCATTTCATGTATGCAAAATACTCTTATTTAACTTAAAATTTTTAGCTTTTTAAAAACTCCCTTGAAGGTACAGCATGTTTGGAAATGACGTAGAATAAAGTGAAAGTGACGTGGACATATGGTGACCCATACTCGGAATTAGTGCTCTGCATTTATCCCATCCAAAGTGCACACACACAGCAGTGAACACACACACACACCGTGAACACACACCCGGAGCAGTGGGCAGCCATTTTTTGCTGCTGCGTCCAAGGAGCAGTTGGGGGTTCGGTGCCTTGCTCAAGGGCACCTCAGTCGTGGTATTGAAGGTGGGAGAGAGCGCTGTACATTCACTCCCCCCACCTACAAATCCCTGTCGTACGAGACTCGGGAGAGAGCGCTGTACATTCACTCCCCCCACCTGGCGATGAAGTTACTATATTAACATATAGTATTATATGTTTATATATATAAACATATATATTAACAATAGTAATAATTAATGCCGAGTGTCTGCATAGCAGTGTGTGCTTTAATGGTCTAGTGATAGAACTTTTGTGGAGCATTTCTGAGATTCCGGGTTCTAATCCGCCCTCGTATAGTTTTTTTTTTTTCTCATTAAAACCAAAGTGGAGTTCACCAGTGAATGTATATCAAGAGCAAGGACACGTTTGTGTGCATTTTGTTTTGTGTTTTTACCAGAACGAAGCGCTCGATCGCCTGTGTGAATATGCGCATTGTGCACGAGCGCCGAGAGAGAACTGGGCTGCGTTCAGCCCCGACAAAAACGGTGCAAAACGTTTTTTAAACGGAAACGGTGGTGCGCTGAACACCCTGTTCTGATGACTCAAGAGTTGCAACTATGGCAGCTGAGAAGGCCATTCTTTGTGTTCTTTTTGAAGAATTTTCGGAGCCTGATGAAATCGGTATAAATACGTGTTTAATACTGCAAAATACACTCG